TTATACTGCAAACAAATGGATCGTTCCGTGGTATGGAATTCAACTGAACCGGAATATAAAAAGAGCTAACAGTCCAATAGGATGTCAGTGAGAGGCTGAAATGTAGAAACAAAGGTTTTCAGTATACAAGACGAATCGTTAATTGAATGGATTTGTTCGTTTGTAGGTAGTCCTCCTAACGCCTCCCCTTTGAAGTGGTCGATCGTAGGACTGCTGCTGAGTTGAGTTGCGTTGGTATGACGGGCATTCGTATTCGATCGTTCCATCTTCTAGGTGCGCAACTTTTGGAAATTGCTGGTTCATTCATCGGAGATTTCGGCTCCTGAGCTAACTCAAATGTGTCGAGAAGAATCTCCAGTTGAAGAACAGGGTCGAGTGTAGTTGCCGCTTGAAGATAGGAAGCACGTAGCTGATTGGCACGACGGACCCAGATAGAGCCTACATTTACCTCATAGACAACTGTTCCGGCAAGGCGCACAATTATGTCTTGTGTCCACTTTTCCGCAACACCACGATAGTCTTTCGGTAGCACAGATTGGCCGGGTATAAATATGTTACAGCACCGTGGTGTCGGTTGAACTGAACTTCCATATTCATGTTTCTACCGGATGGCGAATGTGGTGTTGGACGGATGACGTCAACGGGTAAGCGGATCTTCCGGTTCATAATTACCTTCGCCGAGGACTTACCATGTAGAGCGTCAACATTTGGTGTCGCCCTGTAACTCAGCAGAAATGTCTCGATGATTTCCAGTGTGGTCCCCTCCCCAGTTGAGTTTTTGTAGTGTGCGTTTGAAAGTGTCCACAAGTCTTTCCACTTGGCCATTTGATTGTGGATGAAACGGTGGTGATCGAACATGTTGTATGCCATTTTCTTGACAGAAATCGGAAAATTTAACGGAAGTGAATGCACTGCCGTTGTCAGAAACAATGATATTTGGAACTCCGAAGTGGCCAAACACACGTAGTTTCTAAATGGTAGCACCAGCAGTAATATGGTTCATGCTAAACACTTCTGGCCATTTACTGTAAGCATCTACTAGGATGAGATATTGTTGGTCGCTGATTGGTCCCCCAAAATCAGCATAAAGTCGTGACCATGGAGTTTCTGGGACAGGCCATGAACATAATTCTGTTTTCCTAAGGGATTTTGCAGACAGTTGGCATTTTGAGCACTTACGTACAAGTTCTTTTTAACTGCTTATCCATGCTTGGCCAGTAGACATAACTACGTGTTAGCGTCTTCATGCGGTTAATACCGGGATGTCTAAAATGAAATTGTTTAAGGACTTTACTCTGTAATTCCAGGGGCACAGTTACTCGTTTTGCGAAGAGTAAGCAACCGTCAACCTCGGAAAGTGAGGATCGACGTTGGTAGAACGGCTGCAGGCCAGTGTGTGCGGTGAAAGTTGAGCCAGTAAACTAACAGCCCAGATATGACTTTAGTGGAATCCACTCCAGTGACGCGCATTCAGTCCTGGGGCCAAGCACAGCTCTCACACCATAGATCACTGGAAACTCAAAGAGTAAACTGCGAGAGATCTGGGTTCGTGCCGAGTGGTTTAAGGTTTATGACCGTACTGGAGTCTTGTTTGCTTGTTTCGGAAGCACAACGTACGTCAACCGAAAGGAGGACAATACCTTAGCAGTAGCTCACTGTTGCCCATTTTGATGCAGGCTTAGGTTTCTGAAAGTATCAATATGGAACAGATCCGCTGAAACAACAAGGGTTTCTCATTATTATTCTGGGCGTAAGCTTAGATAGGGAGCAATGGTTGGGTGACTGACAGCTTAACTAATCATAAGGGCTTGAGTGATGGACATGTGAAGTGTATAGTAACTCAGACTGACATAACTGTTGGTTCAAAGGTCGGACTGCTGAGCCAGATTTTACGGACCCCTGGACAAAATCCTAGATTCTTCCACTGCATTGTCGGTCAGACTTCCGAGTCAAAGGCCCTTGGGTGGGTTAACTCTATCGGCCTATGAAATTGGGAATGCGTCGGAGCAGCAGCTGCTGTCCTCAAGTTATCCGTTGTAACCCTTGTTATTGCCCCTATCAATCAATCCCATCTGTTTGTGGCTTCCATTTCTAGCACCCTACCCAGGTTTTACGGAGAATTAACACATGCCATCTACAGGTACTAACCTAGTTCTCGCACTCTTTGTAAATTAGATCAACAGACCTACCCTGCCCATCTCGTTTTCTTTCTAAGAACCGAGGTATGCCCTGTCTCCGAAACGTGCATGCATAACCCGACTACAGTGGGGCATCTGAGAATAGTTCAGGGTGGTCCGGATCACTCATTTTACTATTCGGACGTCAGAATTGACGTCTAGTGCCCTCGGTGATGTGTGTGTCACATTGAGTACGAAAGATGAACACACTGATTGACTGGTTCCCTGTCACAGGATTCATCAGAATCCGAAACAGCGACGCCAAACGCATAGTTGATTAATCATCTCTGCGTACACTTCAACAGGCTGTACTGTTGGAGACGTTTTTCAGAAATCTCTGGAGACTTCTGGTAGTGGAAAGGTGCACGGAAATTAATATTCTGGCCGACAACTTGAAATGTCAGTTGGAGAGGATTGACAAACTTGGATACCGTCTCGGCGCATATTTACTGTAGGTGTTCCCAGAATCAATGATGGGCGTTTCCTACCGTCTACTGATCGTAGGCACAAAAATGAGCTTCACGTTGCCTAGAGCTTTCCCAAGCACATTCAGTCGAACACTCAGTGTGACGACAGCGACAAAATATAGATAATGACTTTCGCTCCGTTCGAAACACGTTTGCGAAGTCAGGTGCGCTAGCCTGCGTCTGTATTGCACCTAGTTTCCTAGCTACCTATCGGTATGATGTTTTGTACGCGCAAATGCATCAACCGAAGTCTGCGTCTGACAAACGCGAAACAAATCCGTTGACCAAATGAATACTGGTTCGAAATCCGAAAGCCAATAAATTCAGTAATTGATCACGTTCGTCCATTTCAATTTGAACATCGACCATCCGCATTCACGATCGAGGAAAAGAAGGCAACCCCGTCAGGCCGACAGTATTACTGAACGTGGTCTCTGAAACGATGGATGCCAGTCTCGAGACTGATCGGGGAGAGTAGTGGTTAGGGGAATCACTGAACAAAGAACATTACCGGTTAGTTAGTGAAGTCAGTACGGAGGCCCAATTAATAAATTCAGTCTTTCGGCTATAAACCATGTGCCGTAGATATATTGGTTCCAGATGCTAGAGTTTCGTCACCGGAAAGTTCGAATATTCTGGAAAAAAACGTAGTTAGAAGTGATGAAATGGAATGCGAAAAAGCACATGATATCGTGGCACGACTACTGACCCAACTAACTGGACAGATTTTCACATGATACCAAAAACGGCGGTAAGGCAGTGCTAAAGAGTGACGGTTAAGTCAGCGGCCAGAAAAGTATGAGCTTCGTAGTTTGCTCTGAACGAACAGAGAATATCAGGTCGCCTAGCGAGACAAGTGTTGTTCTCGACATCTCTCCATGAAGGCACGAACAGCGATAACGTCGTGATTTCGCATAAGGAGTGAAACACATCACAACCAGTCTGCGTACCCCATACGCGAATTTTCTGCATGTAGCTCACTCACCACACAGCCAGAACAATTGTACCACATTCAATTCAATTCAATTTAATTCAATTTATCAGCCATAAACCATGTGGCATAGGTATATTGGTTCCAGCTGCTAGAGTTTCGATTACCGGAAAGTGGGAGAGTGTGGGGCACACAGACAGGCCTTGGAGGCGATTCCATGTTTAGCTAGTTCCGGAACAGGGTAGCCCCGCACTGAGGGCGATAACTTTGATGCACGAGCGCCACTGACTGCGCGATTGCGCCATTTCCGCCAATGTCATTAACCACTGCTGATTTGAGTCCTGGGAGGCGGCAGTTGTCCACCCGACTAAGTTTACTGTTTTCGTACTTCGTTGCCAGATGATACACGGTCCACCTCTCGGTCGCTTCGACTCAGCACGGGGCTGTGAGAAAAGAGCTCTGTGAGACAGACGATCTTCTGGCATGCGGAGTACATGTCCTAACCAGCGTAACCTATGGAGCGTGAGTAATTCCTCTATTTTGGGACCCTCTGGCGTACCTCAGCATTAATAATCCGATGTTCCCACCAGACCTGATCAAAGCTGCGGAGTTACCGATGATCGAACACTGACATCTCCCGTATGTCATCCGCGCGTAGGAGCGTAGGTCCATAAAGTAGTATGGACCGCACCACCGCGGTGTAAACTCTACCCTTGACAGGCAAGCTCACGTCACTTCGGCGCCGTAGGTGTTGGAGGTTGACAAAAGCTGTGTTGGCCTTTCCGATTCGAGAATCTCATCTCCAGCCAGTCCACCGGAACTTATACAGCTGCCCAGGTAAACAAATTTATCTATCACGTCGGTTGGCTCACCTGCAAGCATGAGGTGTGGGTTTGGTCCCACCTAGTCTTGTAGCAGCGCTTTACACTTTGCATATGTGAAGCGCATGCTAAATCATGCGGCACAGTTATTTAGGTTATTTAAAATCGTTTGCATTTGAGAAGGATCTGAACCAAGGACAGCAATATCGTCCGCATACTCAATGTCTGTGAGGGAACGTCCCTGCCTCTGAATTTTCAGAGGCAGGCTGCTTGATATTTCCCTGCTTCCCTCTGAAAATTCGAGAGCCGAAATGTTCCCGGGACGTTCCCTCACAGATATTGAATATGCGGAAGACTGTCTGTCTCACAGAGCTCTTTTCTCACAGCCCCGTGCTGAGTCGAAGCGACCGAGAGGTGGACCGTGTATCATCTGGCAACGAAGTACGAAAACAGTAAACTTAGTCGGGTGGACAACTGCCGCCTCCCAGGACTCAAATCAGCAGTGGTTAATGACATTGGCGGAAATGGCGCAATCGCGCAGTCAGTGGCGCTCGTGCATCAAAGTTATCGCCCTCAGTGCGGGGCTACCCTGTTCCGGAACTAGCTAAACATGGAATCCGCTCCAAGGCCTGTCTGTGTGCCCCACACTCTCCCACTTTCCGGTAATCGAAACTCTAGCAGCTGGAACCAATATACCTATGCCACATGGTTTATGGCTGATAAATTGAATTAAATTGAATTGAATTGAATGTGGTACAATTGTTCTGGCTGTGTGGTGAGTGAGCTACATGCAGAAAATTCGCGTATGGGGTACGCAGACTGGTTGTGATGTGTTTCACTCCTTATGCGAAATCACGACGTTATCGCTGTTCGTGCCTTCATGGAGAGATGTCGAGAACAACACTTGTCTCGCTAGGCGACCTGATATTCTCTGTTCGTTCAGAGCAAACTACGAAGCTCATACTTTTCTGGCCGCTGACTTAACCGTCACTCTTTAGCACTGCCTTACCGCCGTTTTTGGTATCATGTGAAAATCTGTCCAGTTAGTTGGGTCAGTAGTCGTGCCACGATATCATGTGCTTTTTCGCATTCCATTTCATCACTTCTAACTACGTTTTTTTCCAGAATATTCGAACTTCTTTACGAATTCGTCTGGCCCTCACTCGTTCCGAATTAACTTCTCCTGACTCAACAGAAGAACTGTTCAACAGCATAGACGAGCTTGTTCAACTACTGGACGATGTATCCTTTGACTCCAGTCAACCTATCAAGTATGCTGAACACTCAGCTATCGCTGAACCCACCTCATCCTGAGTTTTTTGTGGGACTCTTGCTAGATTTCTTATTTGTACTTTTCAAGAATGCGGAACGAGAATGTGTTTTCACTCACTTAATTTAAAAGAAAAATCTCGGATCTTATTTCGGTTTTGTTCCTTAAATAATCATGTACCTCGTTTAAGCAGACTTCGTATACTTCAGTGAGTCTTTTCTGGCATGGTTGCGTGTACCCCTTAGTTCCTCAGTTATTGGTCGGGCTTCATAGTTCCACCAAATATAGTCTTCAGCAATCCTGTCAAAGCGCCGAGGTCGTGTTGTCTTATCCGTTAGAAAATGTTCATTGCTTCCATACAAAACTACCTTTGCGTCGTAAGTTCACGCGCTGTGCCGTGAAACATTGAGTCATCTAGGTATCGATCCCAGTAATCAATACATTTGTCGGCACTAGTTTGAAATTTATTCACTCCCATTTCGAGAACATTCCGTCGGTTCCCCCTTCTAATTATTGATTAATTGGAGGTGAGAGCCACACCTAGACAAAGATCGACCAATGTTCTTTAAACTTTAATCAAATTTTGAACACTAATTCGAACAATCTTATTTATGTTTTCCAGGAAGCGAATGCTGAAAATTATTGAAAGGACGTAACCTGCCCATGTGCATCTGAGTGTTGATGTACGGCAACACCTGCGTTCTACCAACGACGTCTCCAGGCAGTCATTATCCGAGTAGAATCGGCGTGCTTCTCGTTCTCATGTGTATGATGGATTTGTAGCTTTGTATTCGTAACAGGCATCCATCTCACTGCAATGTTTCGGATGCGCTCCATTCAACTCAAAATATCTGAAAGCACGAATTAGCGTTTTCTTAAGATGTCTACAGCGTCCGTTTTTATAACCTGATTTGTATTGTGCGGAACACCGTCTTAAGTACTGAAGCATCTGTTGCGTTTTTGGCTATTTGGGTTTCGAATGATGCACGGTACTTGACAATCTTTTAAGTTGCGTCTAAGGACTTGTTAGATTCTGGTTCTGCTGGGACAACCTAGATCTTACCAGAGTATAGCGCCTGCCTTAGAGGCACAGCCCATGCGTGCTGCATACGTATCTCATCTTTTCATAAAGTTATTTGGACAGTTGGTGGATTTTTTACTTGGTAGTGTCTGAATAGGCTAAACATCCGGTAAGCTAAACATAAAGCAACAAGAACTATATGTGAATATCAGGCAGGGCATTCACCAGACAGATTTGGAATTTGTCGAAGTCACTAGAGTGGTTAGATTCACAGCAGAACGACTGCTGGCCGAGGCTTTAACTGGACCTTATCATGGTGTGCCTGCAAGGTCGAATCGAATAGAAGATATAGGGCTGGAAGGTGCATGCCAATCGGCTTTAGACAAGCGGAGTTTTCATTTGTGGTTTTCAGCGAATTGATCTAGATTTAAGATAATGCCCACGCTAATTAGGATTCACTTGAGCCTCCCTAACCCAATAGTCCTAACTTGTGAACAACGCTTAGAAGAAACATTCAACAATTGCTGTAGACTTCAGGAGCTAGGATCCAACTTCTCAACATGATGGTCATTTTCACCTGGCGCATCGTCATCGAAAACCTCCCTGATTAACATTTAGCACTGGTCAGGCTGGATAAAAGAGTCCTCACGGATTTGTCCCTGTATGTTTCAAAATCGGTCAACCTGGCCTGACTGAGGTTTTGTACCAGAAGTGAAAGTTTATCTAGGAATAATCCCACCAGTTATCTATCATCTGTTTAACATCATTGACCTATTAGTCACACACATCTTTTTGGTGCCAAATGAGCCTTTACAATAAAACTGCATGCGTGAAAGCCGCGAAATCGTCTGGAGCGAACGAACAGAAAATTGCACTTAAACATAGATTGCGTTTTTGACATCGGTGACGGTGAGTACCGAGCTGAATCGAAATGTCAGATATAAATTGGGAACAGCTTTCGGTCGCTGTGGCAGACAAGTTTGATCAATAATAAGTGAGATGGTTGAGAGTGCAGTTACAAATGGTCACTTTTCGCATAAATCCAGTGATGATAATACCAGATACGGCAAATGCCTGGAGGTTAACTGCTTTTGTAACATTGTGTGTGTTTGTCAATGCAATCACGCATACAAAAATCTTGAGCGAACTAGTAATATTATATGACTACATCGTGTACGCGAATCCGGTCAACATATCTGTGAAATTGACACTGCGACTTATGCATCAAGCCTGAGCGGTAATAGCGGTAAAAGAAGCTATTTGAACTACCGTGGACCGAAACACGTTTTTGGTTTACATGTGAAGTCCCAAGGCATGGTTCACCGGAACTCACAGTACTATTTGAGTATCAAAACACTTAGTAGATGGTCCGGCGATTCAGTGGAAACCGTTCATCTTTTCTGAACGAATCTCCAGAGTCCAGAATAACAGATTACCAGGGTAGCTTTACACGGAGTATACTTAGGAGTCTGCGGTTGTTGGAACTGCAGCCGCCCACAAACCCGTGGGGATTCGGTAATAAAAGTGAGAATGTATTCACCTTGCTTTCCCTGATTGTTTGCTTGCTGCAGGGATGTATTGTCCTCGTACACTGTTTAGAAGATAGGCTGGCAGGTCTTCCCTCCAAGGCGAGTTTGGACTTGTTAACCATAATCTAATTTTGGGACATCAACCATGTGTGTATCAGAGATTTGAAAGCCAGACAGCTCGATACGACGGTAAATAATGCGCACGTATTCAAGCTCCTAAACAAAAGGTGCTGGATAAGGAGCACATAGCAGAATTAAACCTACGACAGATCATCTTGACCAAAGGGGTAACACATTGGTAACATACTGGTCCTCAACTTATTTTGTATTCTTCTTCATAACCATTGTATAGCAGTATCGTATACCCCTAATTTTGATGGTGTACTCTTCATGTTTCTGATTTCCACCCAGATTGCTCTGTATGGGTTGGGGCTATGACCCTAGAATGGTGACTGGATTAAGACACGGGGAAGACATTTCGAATTTTGGGGTAAAATAACGCATGAAGTAAACTTGGAATTTTATTCAGAATTAGTAAGCCTACAGAAACCTGACGGGGAAACCTTGTATGTTGGCTTTTTTTGCGGGACGGTCTTTACTGAAGTGGGAGAGCACCGCCCAGTCTCATAATTAGGAGTAGTACTGGCAAATCAGAACGGCTGAAGACGAGTAGGTGTATTTGCTAAAGTACGCAAGGCTGGACGACAGACAGTAAGATACAAGGTTAAATATGCCTGCAGAACCCGCAAACCCAAAGAAGTCCGCCAGTCAAAGCTATCAATAAGCGGTGTGATAGCAGCTTTAATGTTCCCATTAAACATCGGTTTGATGATTACATAGCTTGATGCATTAGAAGGTCGATAAGTTAGCTGTCCGGTAGACTGACCTGTAACACAATAATTTCAGAACGCACTCTAATGAACATCTCAACGTTGCACTCTTCCGGACTGGAAGGTAAAATTTTTAACATATTTAGAATTAGTTCCTCTGGTCACTTCACATATGTTTCTTTAATCTGCTCATTAATCCATAAGCTAGTGTCTTCCCACAGATCCATGGGAGATCTCTTCGTAGAGAACGCAAATTCTCGAAAATTGGTAAGGCGTACTACAGGATGATGAGCCAGTCAGGAATGGGTGTGGAATATTCAGCAACACCTTGCTTAATCAATTGCTTCCCATATCAAACACGTACATGAGGCTGTTGTTCAACATGGCTACACTGTTTCATGATGTCCTGCGGGTGCCGCCAACTTTCTAATTGTAGTTCGGTTGTGGAGAGGGATTGTTTTGAATTTGAAACGGCACAGTTCTCGATCTTTGCTAATCCTTCTTACAGTGAGCTAACCTCTCCGTGACCAATGTTATTCTCCAGCAGTGACACCGAATTCCGAACGAGCGGTGTCTTGGTCTCATTTATCCGCAGGCCAGCCTCCCGGATACACTTCAGTACGATCTTCAAGTGAACTGCGACCTCTGGTTCCGAATTTATGTACACAGCGCTATCGTCTCCGTACACGGCAACATTCTGGAGTCCTGTAGCACTTGTAAACTGCTCTTTTTCATGCTCAGTATCATCTTTTTTCCCCATCATTATCAGTCGCATCTCTGTACAAAAGTTTGTTTTACTGAAATACAACCGCTACGGCCCGCTCGTTGGCTCCAACGTGACTTTGAGACTTTTGCTGAGTGACTGTTGTTGTGACCGCCGGTTGGCTATAATTGACTACTGCTAACACTAAACGTGAACAAACATTTCAGCTGCAAACGCTGGACTAATATATTCACGCTTGTGGAATAATATTTCGACCACCGGGGATCTGGGATACCAGGAAGATAGAAATATTCTTGGTGTGGTGGTTCAACGGAATACGCACTACGGAATCTCCTATTTTGAACTGTGAGTCAAGATTTACTTGTATTTTTCTCTTTGTGACTTTGTATCTGGCTTACATCAGTAATTTGTTCAGTTCACTAGAGACTCCTTAGGGCCGTTAACCACTACAATCCCCTCGTTAAACGAAGCATCAACCGCTGGAATGTGAATGGTGCCCCAGACAAACCAAACGGCATTCGTCTAAATTGATATTGGGTTTTCCCAGCCGTGAGCGCCGTTTTCTCGCGGTCATCCGCCTTGATACATAGTTGCCAGTATCCGGAACGCAAGTCCAGCACAGTGAAACATCGGGAATGCTGGAGGGAATCGAAAATCTCCACAACCGAAGAGACAGCTACCATCCGATTTACGGTCAGTTCATTCAGACGCCGGAAATCTACACAAAACCACCTTCCTTACAAGCACAACCGGGGAGTTGTACATACCATTGTGCTTCCTCAATTATGCCATTTTTCAACACCTCTTGAATTTGTTTATCGACTTCCTCTTGTAGACGGAACGATAGCGGACGGGGGCCCTAAGGTCGAAAGCATTCGGATGAGAGGGGAATTTCTTGTCCAATCTACGGGAAAACCAAACGGATCCTCATCGCATGTGAACAGTTTGGAATATTCCTTGACCACGGGTCGTACTGACGGTACGTCACAAGACGGAAGCTTTCGGACACAGCTCACTCACGGCAGTGCTTGGCTGCGCCATACCTTGTCACCAGGTTTTCCTGCTTTAGGTCAACGACGGAATCCGTGCTCTTGAGAAAATCTGCCCCAAATATTGCCTGCTCTATATGTGGACTGATCAGGAACGCATGCTGCAAGGACTTGTCGCCTAGGCATATTGAACGCATTAACAATCCGACAATCTTCAGTCGATATTCAACCACTGCTCTCACGGCTATCACGCACGGTCTGCATTCAGCTTGATTTTCTCTCTACTTCAGCGACACCCCCTGCTCCTGTATCAATCAAGCACAACTCCTTTCCGTCTATCTCAATAACGGCCGGAATGGTTAACCTGTGTCAGTGCGCTAATCGCAACCCACCCGGGAAAAGAGGAGTAATCCAAAGTTTTATTATGTACAGGTGGTCGGTTACGAGGGCATTGATTGTTCCAATGGTCAAGTACGCTACACTTGTAGCGTGCATCCGCCATTCTGTCTTGACGGCTGCAAGCTGTTCGGCGAGTAGGTTCACTTTGTTCTTTTTACCCTTCACTGTTGAATCCTCCATGTTTTCCGACGACTGCAACCTGGCCAGTGGCGTCTCGGCCGATTCCCGTGCCAGATGCTCCACACTCAACTGGCCAATTGCTTTCGCCAGCCACAACTGGGCATGAAGCGCCGACTGTAAACCTTTGACGAACTGTTCAGACAGCAAATGCTTGCGCGGCACTCTATCCAGCCCCTGCAAGGCCCGATCAGCGACTCCTGCAGGCCGGCAAAGAACACCGTCAGGTCACCTCCCGGTTCCATCCTGGCCGTTTTGAACCGCCTCCTAATCTCCTGGCGGTTTGTCGGTGTGTCGGACTCCGGTGCAAGGGCTTCCTTCGCGGCGGCCCAGTCCATCTTCGGAGTACCCCTTCTGGCCGCTTCCAGGACCGCCTTCGCTCGGCCTCCGAGAGGATCTTTGGCGCCGCCAACATACTCCGTCGGGGAGGGCGCGCCGATTCTTGTATCCTCCTTCAGATTTGCAAAGCCTCGCTTTGTTGTTAAAATATATGATGGTACAGTAGAAGTAGAAATCCTAGTCACAGACGCATTAGAAAGTTCAACGGTGTAGAAGACCATACTAAATTCAGTTTGTCGGGGGACTCCTGGGCCAGCACGACTGATGCCATGTCAATTCGTTGTTCTCTACACACTGAGTCCAATGACATCGAGGGGTTAGTGGTCACAGATTTTTTCTTTCAACCTGGGTTTCAGGCATACAATCGTAAACTGTATCTCCCGGCGCCCGGTGGGACCGTTCAAATTCTCATAATTCTCATGAAGAACTCTTATTGCTTGCCCCGTGGGATTAGGAGACACCTTCATATCCGTTGTTGCATTATTAGGATACTACGTGATTAATATTAGCAATCGCTTATCTTTAACACCAATTCGGTGCCAAGCTTATACCACACCTGAAGAAAGTACGAGATCTGATGTTATTCCAGGCAGGAACGGTCCGGATGCCAAGCATGCTTTTGAGCAATGTACCTTCCGGTCGATCATTGAAGAGTGAATTTCATTCAGCTCTCAACATGGCTACGCATGACTGACCACCCTACTACAAGCGGCAGTTAGAATCGAGTTTATTGTCACTTAAAAACAGACCAGTATAATTAGATACTGTCACTAAAATACCGTCAGTGATGTAGGAATACCACATAAAGGTTCGAATTTCCTTAAATTTATCAATAAAATTTTTCTTTCTTACTTCAAGAGGAAATACCACAGAAATGAACACATGCTATTCGTTAGTGGTCAAACTACAAAATTAACGAAAATCGGCTCCCCAGGATTTCCAAGATTCAATAATCAAATCCTCTCTTCTTGGAAAAGACAACGGACGCGCTGTGCAGCATGACCCTCAAATTGACGTTTCTTTGAATTGGTGCATAGGTTCATATGTAATGCACCCCTTGAAGTAAACGAAGAACTTGTGCAACTACTGCCTTTTGATCAATTCGATTTATCAGTTATGAGCCGCGTACCATAGGTACATTGGTTCCAGCTGCTACAGTTTCGATCACCGAAAAAGGGGAAGTGTGGTACATACAGTCAATCCTTGGTTAATTCTGGAATTAAAAAGCTATGTTTAGGAGGCGATAGATTTGATAAACGAGCGCCATTGACTGCTTGATTGGGCCATTTCTGTCAGTGTCATTAAACATTAGTGTGTTAAGTTCCAGGGACCCGATACAGAAAAGCGGCAAGTGCCGACTGTTGATAAACTGAACCCGTGATATCCCGGGGTTCCTGAAAATGTACTCTCGAAACGCTATACTTACACAGCAATAGAAACAGACGGTAAATCGTCTTATAGGTAATTTAATTCTTGATGCGGTTCAATCCTAGGACTGCTTTTTCAAAGTAGATGTGTTCTCCGTAAAATTGTGATACTGTAAATGGAAAGCCATTTTATTATCAATCAATTAGAAAAAGTTGAGAACCGATCGAGAAGCCTTCCTTTCAGAAGGGCTTGACAAATATCGGCAGTTGTTCATTGAGCAACGTCTCGCAGTTGACAAAAAAGTCTGGCCTGGAGAAACCCTTGTGTCAAAAGCGAAACGTTGCCCAATAAGAGACATTGTTTATCAAGCTCCTTTGCAACCTTTCCTTTCGTTTTCGCTTTTTACTCTATCGACACATTATAACGCTGTTTAAGCACCTTCGGCTAAAATGATGCTAAATTGTTACAAAACGCTGAATTACCACATGAATCCGACGAGAAACGACGGAAGTTGATACGGGAATTCGAGGAGGGGCCATCCATCTCCTTTATCCTGCTGCCGTTCAAGTAATCTACCACCCTCAACGTTTTGTTGTGATTGGTTAATCGTGCATCTGATTACATGCATATTCTCCTAGCTGAATGGTGACTTCGTCTACGAATTCGGTGTAGAATAGTTACCAGAGTACTCTTCTGACCTAACTTTCCAGCACGTCATGAGGACAAGTACGCCCGACGCCTGGAGTACAGAGTAGTATCTATGTAATACGCTCCCCATGTGACTGCTGAAATTTCTCCGACAGCCCATTGTAAGTTTTGTCTGCCTTGGGGTCAGCACGTAGGTGCAATCTCCAAGTTTCCGTCTTTTGTTCTACTTGAACCCCGATTGCACGAAATTAGCGAAGTAGACTAATTTGCATACATTTTATATATATATATATATATATATATATATATATATATATGGGTGGACATTCTCAGGCGCCCCCCGGAAC